TGTCTTGTCTTGTGCAGGGCCAGGAGTTGGTCTTTGATCTTCCTTGTGCATCCATTCCACCTCAGGATATTTAGTGATTCTGTGATAAATTTTTATGAAGTTTGATAACAAGCTCCTGGACCAAACTCTATCTTAGATAATTTTAGGACATGTCAAACATATGTTATATGGCATTGTAAGCTAAATATCAGCTGGCAAAAAACCAAGTCTTGTGCAGGGCCAGGAGTTGGTCTTTGATCTTCCTTGTGCATCCATTCCACCTCAGGATATTTAGTGATTCTGTGATAAATTTTTATGAAGTTTGATAACAAGCTCCTGGACCAAACTCTATCTTAGATAATTTTAGGACATGTCAAACATATGTTATATGGCATTGTAAGCTAAATATCAGCTGGCAAAAAACCAAGGAACCTGGGCCAGCTCTAACTGCTGTAACTCTTCACAGCTGAGAAAAAGTGTGAAAAACAGATCAGGGCAGGAAGTCAAGGATACATTTTCCCCCATTGTATTCTTAAATAACAACTGCACTAACTGCTATGAAAATTTACTAGAAAAAAATGAGTATAATTAAAAAGTTGCTAGGAACTGATACATATTTAGGCTTTTGGATTTAAAAGTGAAGGCCTACAAGTATTTTTAAGTACTTGCATCTTCTCCTTTTTCAGTATAAGAGCACCTGCAAGGTATATTTTTGGACCTTATCATCTAGAACATATAGATAAAACTCTTGTTTGGACTGGCAAGTAATGTGTTTTGGAGCAGGGTTTTGTCAGGTTAATTTGATAATAAGCAGAGCTTTCAGAGCTGTTTATATGTATCTGTAAAGGAATGGGGGCATAAAACGAAGGGAGTTAAAATGTGGGCATTGCTATAACTAATGTTGGATTTGTTTAATCTGGTGACCACTGTGTGTAGCTGTTACACACAGAGCCACTCTGTAGTTCACTACCAGTCTTGAATCAAAATGCACTAGATAAAGCTCTAAAAAGGATCTGTATTTAAAAAGTAAAAATCATACTGTAAATAAGGTGATGGCTTATGTGATGTTATTAATTGCAAAGTTTAAAAATTATTTCTATCAAGATGCAGTTAATTATCATTTTCTAATCAGAGAAGAAGAGAGACCAACTACTTCTTATTGACCTTTTTTTCCTTTTCTTCCTCCTCCTATGATTTTCTGGGGTAGTGTCCTGGTTTCAGTGTTAATTTCTTCTCAGTAGCCAGTACAGTGCTGTGTTTTGGATTCAGAATGAGAATGGTGTTGATAATACCCTGATGTTTGGATTTTTGCTAAGTCATGTTTATGCTAAGTCAAGAAGTGTTTTGTGTGTCTCCTGCTCTCCCAGTGAGCAGGTGCACAAAAGAAACTGGGAGGGAGCATAGCCAGGACAGGTGACCTGAACTGGCCCAAGGGAAATTCCACATCATAGAACATCATGCCCAGTATATAACCCAGGGGAGTTACCTAGAAGGGGAGGCTGATCTGAGTTTGGGAACGGGGCCCAGCATTGCTCAGTGGGTGGTGAGCAATTTTATTGTGCATCACTTGTTTGGGGTTTGCTTTTTTTCCTTTCCCTTTTTATTATCGCTGTTATTATTGCATTTGTCTTTGTTCTTAATTATTAAACCATTCTTATCTCAACCTACAAGTTTTGATTTTGATTCTCTTCCCCATTCCACCAGGGCTGGGGGGAGGTAGGAAGGATTGAGCAAGCAGCTATGTGGTGCTTAGTTGCCAGTTACCAGGACAGGTAGTTTAGATTGAAACCTGAGTTGTCCGGTGTTGTTTGTTTTTTCTTTATTAAGAGAAAAAAATAACCTTCACCACTTCACCAAGTTCCTCGGACATTAATCAAATGCTTTATTACTGAAGGCATCTCAAATAATTCAGTTGTCTGATTGCTGAAGTTATTTCTAGTGGAATGCATTCAGGTTAGACAAGGGTTATCCTCTTGGCAAAGTATGTTCAGCCAGGTATTGCAAAGCAACACATGATGTAAGCTCCTTTAAATATGCCACTGCCAGGTGACCTCAGCCAGTGTCTGGGCAGCAGTAGAAGCTTGGCATCTACCTGACGTGTGGGTGAATGTTATGGTGTTTGGCTTCATGTCTGTTACATCTATTTTAGTCAGTTTCTATTTGTAGTGAATGAGGAATTCCTAATTTATATATGTCAATATTGGCAAAACCTGTTAGAATTAGAGTTTGAATTGAATTAGCAGAGGGCACTTTATTTACTTCAGGGTTCAGTAAATTATGTAGCAGGTGCTAGAGAAGGGAAATACTCTTTTACTTTGTTGCCTGAATTATGGTGACTGACCGGACTACTGACAATTTGAGGTAAAGTGTAATAGACCTCTTTTTTTTTTTTCTTTTTTTTTCACTTTAGTGGAAAGCCAGTAGGTGTTGCAGCTGCGCTCCTGTTTGCTCGGAATGGCAATATTGCTGCCCAGTGAATCAAGGGCATTGTGTTATGTAGACAGGGCTATAAACAGCCAGTCTACTTTTGTATCGAGGCCTCTTTGTAATCGGCTTACACTCGGTGTGCTTAGTGTGCCAAGCGAGCCTGCTGCGACAGTGTTTCTGTAGGGTCTTATTCACACTGTCCTGTGAAAGTGTAAGGGCTGCTCAGCCACATGCCCACCTACTGTGCCAGTGCTGCTGTACATGTAGCTGTTTTCCTACAGCCATTTCCTCCTCTGGTTTTCTGAACAACAGGTGATCCCTGTGTATTTGAGCCAGAAGTATGGGATTGTTTGACAAGCTAGCAGGATGGCTTGGGCTGAAGAAAAAGGAGGTTCACGTTTTGTGCCTTGGCTTGGACAACAGCGGCAAAACAACAATCATAAATAAACTTAAACCTTCAAATGTAAGTAGCCTACTTAGTTCAGTATTGATGTTTTTACTGTGGAGCTGATGTTTGTTTACACTGGTTTTGCATGCTGTTATACTAGATGTGACCATGGAAAAGATGTGAAGAGCTTTTTTTGCTTTTGCACAGTGGCACAACTATATTTTTCGCTTCCAGCTAATTAAAACGAAGTGTAAGCACCCACATGCACATTATGAAAACTTTGCCCTCAAAAAACACTGTTATTGTGGCACATGTTTTTTAAGATCACCCAATAAGGAAGGGTTTATGATGGCTGAAATCAGGATCTGAAACAGTTTCCTTAAGTCACTTAAATAATTGCTACATGATTGCAGTTACAAGTGATGTGTCAAACATTTAGGATTAATACAATTGTATAAGAACTTGTCTACCTTTATCATGTTTATTTTAATCTCTCCCTGAAAAATATAAGTGCATAATAAGTAGTAAAATCAGAAATAATGTGAGGATGGTGACACTTAATGATGACTTCATTATTTTTAAAGCAGAATAGTTTTCAAAATATGTAGTACTAATACTTGCAGTTCATTCATTCATCCAGTGAAAAGTGTTTCAGGCCACTAAGGTGCATAGTATTCGAAACGAAAGTAGGATTACCTTGTTTCTAGGTATGCTTATGGAACAGAAATGCATTAATTTTGGTAGGCATGTTCAAAGCCAAAGGCCTGTGCATCTTGGTTATATGCACCTGGGAAACTGAGATTTCTGCTGTTTACATCAGAACACAGCTTTCTTTTTTGGATTTCCATTGAATTTTTCCTGAAGAGATACACTGGACATTGCTTAAAAAATGTGACATGGTAAAGAGTCTGCTGCTCTTCCATTCCACTGAAAATTGAATAGATTTATAAACAAAGACTATAAACTGTTTACTATCTGCTGCCAGTAGTTTGGGGGAAATGCTAGAATTTGTGCCAGGCAAATTGTATATTTATGTGATTTTTCAGGCTTTTATTGTAGTGGAATTTTGTCATGCGTTAAGCAGGAAAGGATTCCTAACTAGAGTTGAACAAAGACTTCAAGATTTGTCACAATAATAGGCATTAGAGAAAGTCCCAAGGGAATTACACAAGTAGAATAAACAGAATTTGTTTGCTTTACTGTAAATCGTGTAATGAGAATTTACTTCTGAATGTCTTCATTTAACATGATGCTTTAGGAGGGTAGCTTTGCATACAACTTGTATAAGCCCTGCCCTTACAAGACACAACAAATAGACTAACATGCTAGAAATACCACTAGATCAGACTTGATAAAATTGTTTATTTCTAGTAAGTTCAATGGACAGGTGGTTTTGAGGTCTGGATTCAACCCAGTCTTCTTAAAAAGAGCTGCTACTTCGCCCTAAGAGCAATATATTAGGTGTCTGGCAAGTGTTTCTCCATCTGTTTGCAGTTGTTTCTTCTGGGTCTGATAAATATATTTGAAATAAATGTTAGATAAATAGCAGGTCTTCTACTCTGCATAAATTTTCCCTTGGTGACAGGAACTGTTGACTACAGTGGTGAGATGCCATGTTCATAAAGAAGCTGCAGATGAATAAGCCAACTTCCTTCAGTTAAATGTGAGGGGTCAACTGCTTATAGATAGTGTTTTTAATAAGGGACTCTAGAAGGTCTATAAAAGGATTGCATGTCACTTTCTCAGACAGCTCTGTAAATGCTTCTTAAAGGAGCTATTCTTTTCTGCCAGTTTATCTGATGGGTTCCTTGGCTAGCTCAGTAGTAAACCAGGTTATCAGACAGATCTATTAATAAGGCTTTATGTTTTGGCCATTACTGTCTGGTAAGTGGTGATTTCGTCCAGTGGTGTAGTGGTTTGGATAGAACTATGATCAGGCCATTGTGTAACGTCTGCTGTATCATTCCCAATGTCAGATAGACTCCTGCAGCATACAGGTAGAAGCTATCAGTCTGGCCAATCTAATATCTTGATAGACTCTCCTTTAGCTAACAGGCTTGGGGTATTGTACAGACTTGTTTGGGTTGACATTGTGATTTCCCAAGTTCACAGATTTTTAACCTCAGTCATAATCTTCAAGCTGTTATCTTGCATCTTAACCTATCTCCTATTTATTTCATAGGCAATATCCACAATACATGTACACACAGACTAATGTAAAGGGTGGAATCTCACCCTCAAGGGTAAAATGTCTTCCAATGTTGTCCAATAGTATTCACTGTATTTCCTAGAAAATACAAAAGCTTGATTTTAAATTGGTTTACTTTTCTGTGAACCTTTTGAATATAAAGTATCTGGATGTGTAGAATTTTTTTGTATTGCACAGCTTTGGGGAAAAATAGATCTGCAATGTATTCCTATTTCAAATATATTCCAATATTTACATTTGCTAACTTGATTGTAAAATTTATACTTTCTTTCCTTTAAAGTCTCAAACTCAGGACATCGTTCCAACAATAGGATTCAGTATAGAAAAATTCAAGACCGCAAGGTAGTACTTTATTTTATTTTCTCCATTTAGCAGTAGTGACTGTTGCACAGTTACTTCTTTCAGTGAGCTGTCACAGAGTATTATGTGTGGTGGTATAATGACATGACATGCAGTTTTCTGAAATGTTGTAGTGCCCACAAGGCCTAATCATGATCCAGGTCTGAGTATTTTAGAATAGATTGTGTGGCTGTGTGTAAGACTAAAAAAAAAAAAAAAAAAAATTTTTTTACAATAGTGTGTCTAAGCGCCTGATCCCTGTCTGTTAAGAATTTCAGAATAGGGCACTCTTACAGACTTGAGCAGAGACAAGTTGCTTAGGTGGTAGCCTATATTCCATTGTCAATCTGGTAACCTATATTAAGCACTCTCACTGAAGGTCCTCTGAACAGATTGCAGTGTAATCTCATTAAATGAAAAATGGTGGCTGCAGCATTAGCAATGTAAAGATGGCAGGAGCAAAGGCCAGGAAACAGAGGAAGAAGTCATTACTTGAATGAAAGCTAGGATTTAGATAAGGAATGCCATGAGACAAAGATATTTCGAGGACATAATGTAATTTATTACTCTGTAGCCTTTGCTGTGTGTTTTTTATGCATGCAGTTAGTCTTCAAACCAAGCAGCATGCCTCACTGGATGAGAGATCTGCAACAAAATTATTTCTTCCTTGAGCTGATACGTGGGTCTGATAGGTTTCAGATTTCTATAGGAGCCTCAGCAACTGTGTTCTGTCTCAGTAAAGCACATTGGACAGGTTTGGGACTTGGCTGTGTGAGAATGTGAATTGATTTATATTGCTTTCCTGTAGTAGGAGAGATGATAACCTGTAAATACACTGTGTAGAATGATTTTTTAAATAAACACCCAAAAAACCCAAACAAACCCCCACAAGCTAACTAGAATCCGATGATGTCTGGACATAGAGTGAAAAGGATGTCTGGACACCTTCCTTTTCTAAACCTCCTCATTTTCATGTGGCCTCCCCTTGGGGAGTTATTTGGGACTATCCAAAACAAGAAAGCCTAACACTCAAGTTGATGTCACCTCTGTAGACATTTCAGGAGTGGATCAGAAGTTTTTGTAGTGTTTTTTAAATTGACTTGCTGTTTGTAGTGTTTGGGGTAAAATTTCAAAGTTGCAAAAATTACTTTGTGCTTTGGTCATCTGAGTTCACCTGTTATAACCAGAACGTGGGTTTTTTCCCTGAAAGTGGAATCGGTTTGGAGTTTTTTAAAAGCCTTTTATTTTGCATACAGAAGCCTCTGGATGTTACTGGTGCCTGTCTGGAGACAATTTAAGAGTGGCTGTGGATTTTAAGTCATGGTTCATCTGAAGTTCATTTGCTCATTATAAACAATATTTGATACTATCATAGAAAGAGAGACTGAATGGGACCTTATTTTGTATTTGATGTAAATTTAAATAATTGGTTTAGTTTTTTTATTCAGGTAATGAAAAAAAACATTTTCCATTGTAAAATATTTGTATAATAAGACTGCAAAACTAAGTAGGATCCTTTGAAGGCAGATAGTGCAATCAGAGTTCCTTTGGGAATTTTTCCCAGTTGATTAGAATTCATGTTGATCTGGCTTTTTTCTGTCAGGGTAGCAAAGACAATACTTTGGGTTTGGGTTTTGTCCTTTGTCTCTGTGCCTCATACACTTCTTTTCTTTGCAGTTTGTCTTTCACAGTGTTTGATATGTCAGGTCAAGGGAAATACAGAGACCTCTGGGAACATTACTACAAGTAAGCCTATCATTTATTTTAAAGCATTGCTGTTCATATTAGCTCTTGTGTAAGTTAAGCAGAAGTACAGTAATATCTAGTGGTTAGAAGTGATTCAGAGAAGGCTGTGTTTGACAGGAGGTCATTCTGGATAAATACAACTTTTCTTTCTATTCTAAAAAATGACAGTTTTTCTCTGCTGTTATTTGGTATGCTTTTGGCAACATCTTGTTTACTCCAAGAGTGAGGGGACCATACTAAAGATGGGATTAAAATGTTGAAACCTGAAACCCAATCCTGTAAGAATGTTCAAGATGAGTTAGGTTTTCAATTTTTCAATTCTTCTGTAGCTAAGTGACTTTAGACCTAAAAGATATTAGCTGATGGCCAAGATTTTTCGAGGTGAGGGAAATTAACCTCAGAGAATAAGGCACATGTAACTAAGAAATTGAGCAAACATTCTTAGATGCTATTTATTGAGTAGGATATTCACTGTACTTTATAACATTATGGTATTGCCTTATTGGTAATAGATACCATTTTCTGTTTTTCTAGTTTCTAGTGAAAGTTGTATCTTTATTTATGTTATCTCATTGCTATTCTGCAATACCCAATCTAAAGAAGGTGAACAGCAGTAAACTACACAGAAGTAGCTTGGGGAAATAGAATGGAAAAATTCTGAAGATTGTAATATTGATTAAATATTAATATTTACCATGATAGAGCTTAACATATTTTTAATTGAGAATTAACAATTCCCTTCCTTTTTTTGTGCAAAATACATTAGCAATTTGAAAACGTGTGGCTAAGAGATCTTCATTGTTCAAGAGTCTTAGATGTGTGTCTCCCAAATATTTTGCATTTCAGTAGCTGATACCCTTAGGCTACTCTCAGAATGCTAGCAGAGTGCTTCATAAGCAAGTAATTTTCATGATTGCTGTATTTAGTACAGTAACTTATCCCTTGTGTGGCATAAATGGCTTTTTCACCTTAACAGTAAGGGAGTTTCTTAGGTTATGCAGACAGTGAAATGTGCACTGGTATCCACCTCTGTTCCTGATCCAGGGCACTAGGCACATGTTTAAGGTTAACTTCTAAGAATAATATAAAAAATACAATGTTTTAATTTGTATTAAGAAAATTAAAACATTCATAAAAGAACAATGTGCTGTTCAGTTTTTAAAGTTAAGCAATATTTAAGTTTGCAAGAATTGCAAAATGGAATTCAAATCTGATCAAGTGTCTAAATAGTTGCCTTAGAGTACTTGAAGTTTGCACTTTTCTTCTATTTGGCTTGAAACTAACTATCTTCTAGGATATCTTCTAAGTTCACTGATCTTATACATACATACGGTCGTGTTGTGTCCCTATTGCTGTTACTATGAAATTATTTTTTGGTAGTACTCTGATTCCTCTAGAAAAATACTGTATGCACATGAAAACTATTTAGGCATTTTCAGCTAATATACAAAAGCTTTATTTACTGTTAAGATTCTTTTGTACAGCAGAAAAGAATGGGCCTTCCCATACAAACTTAGGCTGGTCAAGTTATTTCTGCTTTTCAGTAGGTCTAGGGCTGCTTCTTATCAAAATACTAAGGTAGATGGTGCTGGGGGGCAAAGAATGTATCAGTAATGGTTCTCGGAGAAATGAAACATGAAATTGAAGTGGATATTATGTTAAAATGTAAAATAAATATATTTTCTGTGGGTGTTTATAACTGAACTGGTGAATTATGAATTGTCAAGACTTTATTTGGTTTTGAAAATCAGTTTCAATAACTGGAACATCAAGTCATAAAATACCAGTAATATCCTGAAATAACGAGTTGAATAGTTGTACATATGTTGTGACTGTGGTCATACTGCCAGCAAAATGTCGTAATTATTTGAAATAGTTGAAAGGTTGTACCTATTATTCAGAACAAAAGAAAGATTCTGCTTATGCAGACTTCTGTAAAAGTTAAAATGACCTTCATATGGCAAGTTGTTCAACAGCTGTGGACACAGATTTTTATTTCTAAAGAGGTAATTGACCATTCTCTAAATAAACTTTAGTGTATCAAATAAAGAATTTCCATTAAAATCTGGGGTTTTTTCTTTGTCTGCCTAACCAAGCTGTCAAAATAGTAGTTGGTTACATTTTCGGAGTTCGTTTTCAGCCTCAGTAGTAAAATCAGTGTTTTCTAAAAGATGTGTGGAGACTGAACTTTGAATGAGTCTTGCAGGTAACAACCTCATGTCTCAAAAATTATGCATCTTACCAGAAGATTGAATTTCAAAAATAAGACCAGATTCAAATGTTAATGGTAAATAACAGTAACAAAAAGTAGAGGAAAAAAATAAGGTTCATTTGGACTTTTTTTGGTGTATCTTCTGAAGCCTTTTCTTATTCACAGTTTAAGAGAACCTATAATTTGCCTCTTTGCTCTTTTTATGTTATGCAGAGAAGGCCAAGCCATTATTTTTGTCATTGATAGCAGTGACAAATTAAGAATGGTTGTGGCCAAAGAAGAACTTGACACCCTGCTGAATCATCCAGGTGAGGAGGCTTTTTTCCCCCCTTCTGTGTCCATATTTGTTATGTTGTCTTAAGAAGAGCTCTTATCTGACACATTCTGCATTCTGAGCATTTTGCAAATATTTTAGCCATTCATGAATACTAGGACAATAATAGTCTTTATTAACTTTGTGGGTTTTTTTTACCTATTCACATTTACAAATTAATCATACTTCAGTTGTCTGCACTGAGTTGGATTGGTGTCTTATCAATCAGTATAGATCAAAAATTGCATTGTTTTGAGGAAGAATAGATTTGACCTGTTGAAAGGTGGAGAGCCTTTATGTGATGATCAACATATACAAAAAGTGTCTCCCTGTCTGTTTTTTTCCATGAAGACAGCTAATTCCTTTAATGTAACATTTAACTTGTTTTTTCATCTTCATTATAATTTTTAATGTGTTAGCCAGAATAAGGAGGGATAATTATATCAGTTTCAATTGTCTAGAAAAAGGTACAAGGAATGGAAAATGATATGACAGGATTCATGATCAAGGGCTTAGTTTTAGTGTTTTGGTTTGGTTTTTACATGAGACTACACTTTCTTTAATTAAGTCCTGAGATCAGTCATAGAATCATAGAATCAGCCAGGTTGGAAGAGACCTCAAAGATCATTGAATCAAACCCTACCATCGTTACTAGACCATGGCACTAAGTGCCACATCCAGTCTCGTCTTGAAACCTCCAGGGATGGTGAATCCACCACCTCCCTGGGCAGCACATTCCAATGCCTGATCACTCTCTCTGTAAAAAATCTCTACCTAATATCCAACCTAAACCTCCCCTGGCAGAGCTTGAGTCTGTGCCCTCTTGTCCTGCTGCTAGTTGCCTACTAGTTGTGCTACTGCTAGTTGCCTGAAGTCAATTCTTTACCTTTCTGTGTAGCCAACATTTACTGGAATGTGTTTGTAAGTATGCAATTTTGACTTTCAGCACTTTAGGTAGTTGCTCTGCCTAACCAGATTGTAAAACTACATGTAGGAAATTTAAACAGGGAAATAACCCTGTAATTTCTTATTTATTTATTAAGCTGGTAGAGCCTTGTCTTGTGGGATTACCAGGCTGAGAGTAAGAAAGGAGAAGCTGACCTGCATTTCCGAGAAAAGTAGTATGTGATAGGGACAATTATGTTACCATGACTTTATTTACCATGAAGACTGCATAGAATACATTAGTTCAATCAACAGAGATGCTGGAACTGACCAGGCCTTCTTAATTTCACATTCAAGGGTATGGGCTGCTTCAAATGGAGACACTGAAAAGACAGTGTTGCAAAAGTCTAAGGGGAAGATGAGGTGAGCAAAATATTTCAGGTGGATTTCACAGAGGCCAGGGAACTTTGTACCAAAGCAGGAATTAACCACAGCAGTAAAAGGCAATTCTGTTGGTTAAATGGAACCGCATAGGACCAAGGGTGAGAGGTGAAGACTGCTGGAATAAATTACTGGTCTATTAGAAGGCAACAGAGTGAAAATGTTTAGACTGAGTAGAAGCAATCTTAGTTGAGCCTTTTCATTTAGGCATTGATAGGTTATTAATGCTGACCTAGCAGGTCAGTGGTGTTAGGTTGTGTATGTGTTTGGGTCTTCTAGTTACAAAAGACCATTGCTGTGGCCACCTAATATATTTCTTAGAACCAGGAAAGAGCAGTTGTGTATTTGTGCCTTGGGGTAGCACAGGTCAAATACAGCAACAGTGTTGCTGGCTTATTGTTTCAGGTTTTGATATATCACATCTAAGAGAACCAAACAGCTTAAAAAATTTCTTCGAGTAGTAATGTTTAATAAAACTAGCTGTTAGCATAATCAATATATAACTGGTTTATCAATATTTTTATTGGGATTACTGTTCTTCCTGCATACCCTACTTTCTTCCCATCTGTACTTCTGTCTCTGATCTTCCTGGAGAGGCTTAAATGTACATGTTTACTTAAGTTTTAAATGGAATCAAATCACTTCCTGTCTCTGAAAATCTTAGTAATCCTTCAGTGAAACAGTTCCCTGTCTTTTTGCCAGACTTCACTTGAGGTTGTCGGGTGAAAGGGGAACGTGTACTGTGAAGCAGTAATGGGATTAGAAGTTGTACTAGGTGGGACTGTAATGAGTCAGAACTATAAGTTATTTTTACTTACATAAATGGACAATGTGCTCAACAAATCACAGCTTGTTTAATGATTATTTTATCATATTACTCAAACTGTATTCTTCAGTACTCTGAAAGATGGTAGTCTACACTTTACTTGGTTTAGATGCTGACTCTTGGGTCACTTGACCTCCAGAACATGCTTCTAAAATAAACTGAAATTCTTGTAAATTTGAAATTCTTTGTATAAAATTACACATCACACATATCTAGTGTCTGGAATATTTTTTTTAATCTGTTCATTCATGACTACTTGCAACTGGAACATGTTAGCTTTCCCATAGTAACTGTGAAAAGTGTGGGAGGGAAATACTGCACAGTAGGAAATAATGTAAATTTCTGTGACCACCACTTGATTTAGCAAAAATCTTCACGTGTACATTGATGAGTCTATGTGAGTAGGTTGTGCCCCTATTTGTTTTTTAAAAAACACCAAAAAATCTCTTGATTAACTTATTTCTTTGCATATGGGATATCAGCTAATTTCTGTGGTTTTACTTACCCATAATTGTAGCCTGTGGGCACCAGGGTTCATTTAATTATACTGTACATTAATGTAAAAGTGTCAGTCAGGAGACACAAAAGCTGTTTAACTACAGAATCAAAACAGAGATTTAATGAAAATGCTCTGTGCTTTTATTTTGAGGCCTTTGACTTGTGTTAGCAGATACCAGAGGAAAAATGAGCTCCAGGTAGGGTAAATAGTTCATGAAAATTGTCAGTGTTTTCATCAGCACTCTGATCTCTGAATTAATATGGGTAGGTAGTGTTACCTCCACTGATTTTTTTTTTTTTGAAAGGTTTATTAAGGAGTTTGAAAAGAATATAATTAGGAAGGTTCCAACCACTTCAGCACTGTCAGCTTGTTGGGCTTTCTAGTATTTTTTTATCATCCCCCTTCCACATCAGCAGAGGCAGCTGGCTTATGTATGAAGTTTTACAATAAATCCTTAGCTTGTTTCCTATGTGAAATAACCTTTTCTTTTTACTATTTTAAAAAGAGCCTGTGTAGCAATTTTCATCAGGATGGGGCTGGTGTGTATTTAAGTTCTTTTTGTATGAAGAATTGATTAATAGACTCAAATCTAGATTTTCTCCAATCCATAAATTGTCTTTTGTATAAATAATAGGAAAAATTCTTAGTGTTACTCTTGGTGCTGGTAATTTTTTGGCAGTTTTACATCTGTAAGTTTGAAGAGAGTATATTTTGTTTCTTTTCCATTACTCTGGTCTTTGGAGGTAATAGGTGAGGTTTAAACTTGTCTGTGTGTAAGTATCCCAGAAATTGCCAGTGTACTTGGTTTGGTCTGTAGTTCTCACTGCTAGCTGAGAAGAGCTTCTGGAAAAGAAGTCCTTCTTCAAGTAAAGGTAGGATAAAGGATGTCCAGACGTATGCACTTTTTTCCTATTTTATAAATTCTGTGAAGTCATAGATGCTCACCAGGATGCTAAAAGGGTAATTCAGACTACCCTTAAGTGACTATTGTTGTGATGTTAGAAATGAACACAAACAATTTTCCTGTCCATTTTATACATCCAGTCCTCACTAAGCAGAGATGTGCACTATTAGTAGGCAGTTGTTTGATCTTGTGTTCCTCAGCTTCACCAGCAATTCATACCTACAGGTTTAAGTGTGGGTATAAGGTAGGGGGAGAGGGGGTGGAAGATTCCAAAGCCTGCCAGAAAGTTTGTGAACATTGTGGAAGCATGCATCAGAGGCCATGTGAGCCAACAGTGTGCATCTTGGTAGGATACAGCCTTCACAGAATTACAGTTACAGGTGAGCAAAATACCTTGCTGTATTGTTTGTAGTTTATTACATGTAGAGATGAATAAGTGTTGAATAATGTCATGATTTCTGCTCATGCCTAGATATTAAGCACCGACGACTGCCTATTCTCTTCTTTGCTAACAAGATGGACCTCAGGGATGCAGTGTCATCTGTGAAAGTATCTCAATTACTGTCACTAGAAAACATCAAAGACAAGCCCTGGCATATCTGGTAAATTTCCCCTTTTCTACCCCTTTATTACATTACTTTGTGCATTCATATTGTAGCTCTGTCACACCATTCATTACTATGTAACATAACTAAATCAACCAGATAAAAGATCGTGCTGCCATATGTGGAAACAATAGTAATAGTACTTGCTATGAAACTTGTTTTAAATGCACAGTACATTTATGTAGGCTGTGTCTTCAAAGTTTTCACCGTAGAACTGTTACTCAAATAATGAAATGAAGGAACTTTTGGTGAAATCGGAAAGCAGTGTTCTTATCAGAACATAGCTGCCATTATTTTTTGCTGGGAAATTGAGTAGAATTGTTATCTGAGTGCTGCTGCTAGTTTGTCTTGCAGCTTTCAGAATGTCAACAATAAAACTTTGGAGTTTTTTTCCACTTTGCAGATGCTTTACTAAACTACTGTTAAAATGCCATTTAGTAAACTGTTCTCATCTGAATTCAGAGGGACACTGTACTCTTTGTACCCTGTGATGTTTGAGGGGTTTTTTAGTTGTAGAGGCTAGTGTCTTTTCTTTCTGAAGGATGTAAGCTTTCATATAATGAAAGCTTTCATCATGTAAGCTTTAAGCTGTGTGAAGTTCAGGTTGGACATTAGGAAGAATTTCTTTACAGAAGGAGTGATTAGACATTGAAATGGACTGCACAGGGAGGTGGTGGAGTCACCATCCCTGGAGGTGTTTAAGGAGAGACTGGACATAGCATTTAGTGCCATGATCTAGTTAACATGGTGGTGTTAGGTCATAGGTTGGACTCGATGCTCTCAGAGGTGTTTTCCAACCTTAATGATTCCATGATATAAATAGACTTTGTGCTAATGCTCACAAGGGAAAAACTCTCCTTTTATCAGAAGCATTTTATAGAAATTAGGGTTTTTTTCCTATGAAGGTCCTAAGCTATTATAAATAAAAGTGAAATCAGCTGATTGAAACTACAATTGAATGAAAACTACAATTTTCATTTTAGGTCCTTTAATATTAAACTTGATTACCTGGACATTGTTTTGGGGTCATTGCTTTTTGCCTCAGAAATCACAGTGATGAATTCCAAAGCTTCTTGGAAGATAATATTAGAACTAACCACAGTAACAGTCCAGATTCACTGCTATGCTCATTTTCACAAGCTGAAGAATGAGGGGCCTTTAAACAGTTATGCCCCTGTGATTCAAAAGGTAGATTTACACTATTCTCAGTGCAGCTTAATCGTTTTATATATTACCAGACACTCCTAGTGTTGCTGTTACAATGAACTGTGCACACGCTGTACTCCCTTCCTCCAGTGTTGCAGTGTTTTTGCTGTGTGTAGGAACTGCGTGGGAGGACACTTGGACTTGATCATCTTAAAGGTCTTTTCCAACCTAAATGATTCTATGATTCATTGCTGCTGTTGTAGGTAGTAAACATCTTTCATACTATCATCTGAGAAAGGAGTTACCTAAATGAAGGTGCTGCAGAATAATGTGGCTGTCTTGTGTGAGAGCTCTTCCAGAACCCTTCATGTTTTAGGAATGATTCCTCTCCCTTGTAAAATAGTTCACATCATGAAATGGTGTTTCTATATTGGGAAGGTACTCTGTGTCATTTGAGAAGCAGTATTCTCCATGCAAAGAAAACTTAAGTAAACTATACTTGATGCTACTTTGCAATTCTCTAAATTACAGGTATAGTGATGACTCAACTAAAACCTGTATTTTTATGATGTTTTTGTCCTTTGATTTGTTTCTTTCAGTGCCAGTGATGCTCTTAAAGGAGATGGATTACAAGAAGGTGTGGATTGGCTCCAAGGTATATCATATGTAATTCTCTTGATCTGTTTTCCTACTGTAAACTTTTTCATTTTGTAAGGTTTTTTCTTTATTATTTCCTTTGTTTTCTTTCTGTCCACTTCTGCTGTCAGATCAAATTACGCAGTGAGTACTAATGCTCTATCCCATATTTGCTTTTCATTTACCTCCTTAGCATACACAAAAGATCATGTCAGTCTCTCTGACAAAAGTGCCGACTATGAAATATTAATGCACACTCTTGCAAATAGTGTAACACTTTAATTTAAACCATACCAGCTCCCAAACTTCAATTTATTATTGCAGTACTTCAGTTTGTTCTTTTAATTTATTCTTACTGTCCTGCCTCGGTTTGACTGAACTTAATGTTATGCATCGGGAAATGGTGAACAAGCTAGAACAATAAGCCAAGTACACAGACAAAGACACTAGTTTTGATTATTCAGTTTCATTTCTTCAATCTAGAGCCCAGATAAAAACAGCTTGCTTTATAACTGTCATAACATATGCAGACACTGATAACTGCATGGAATATATGGGCTCCAGCTTAGATGATATGTTACATACAGCTTTTTTAATTACAAACTTGGTATGGATGTTGTATCTCCTTCTGTTGTATGTTAGTAAGGCTCTGGTCTGCTAAATGTCTAGATTAGCGAAGTGTGGCATAGTTTTGATAGACTCATTCTGATTTTAGCTCCCTGATTTGCGTTGCTTGTGCTGTGCATTGGGTAGCGCAGTTTCAGCTGAGCCTGCAGTGCTGTGTGTGCTGTGCCGTGGTGGCCGCGGGGTGTCAGCGCTGCTCCAGGGACAGAGCCACCCAACTCACTCCTTCCAGTGCAGCTGGATGGATAACAGCCAGCCTTGACCCTGCTCTAACTTAACTCCATTGATCTAGGGCCACCAGACTGTCCTTTCTGCTTAGAATCTTACTGCTAACTAGAGTGAGATGGTTTGTTTTACTGTGTCATAACAGAATACAAAAACATTTGGTCATGTTTTCAGAGGAAGGGATACTTGCCAAAAATAGTCTTTACAAAGAGATATGGTGCCCCATAGAAGAACAGTGATGTATCCTCCACCAGCTAAAAGAATTCTGTGGTGGGAAGTCAGGATATGACCACTGAGTTTCTTTCATTGCTGTATCCTATTATCGTAGAGGCAGATTCCAAATCATGTGCTTTTTTCCTAATTTCAGGCATACTTCTGATTTAGTAATATATGTGATTTTCAGGGTCTCTCTTCTCTTGGAGGAACATTTTCAGTTTCAATCCAGATTCTGAGTTGATGATTTCGTATGTAGCTTCAAGCTACTTAAAAGGATCTCGATGCTTGTCTAAATATTTTCTGACAAAACACATAAGTTGTATATGTAGATTTTTTTTAAGCACAGCAAGCACATAGCTCTTCATAACTATTCACTTCCCATGGATTGTTAAAATTCTTAATTTTCTGAGGTGAAATTCTTCATGGATGGGATTTATCTAAAATTTTCTTTAATTCCCTGGTTCAGTATCCACAAAAGCTGAAGAGAGGTTGGGTTTAAATTGCTGTTACCTAAGCACATGCAGTTTGGCAGTTATACTTTTAATGGATGAAGGCTGTGATACTTCAAGAACAATTTTTTCCTATGATTTTCCTCGTTCCTAGAGCACTAGGTGGAAATATTTGGAACAACTCTGTAGTTATAGTAGTCCCTAAATCACAGCCTGTGTATGCCATAAAATTCAGTGCAGGAAATGACACCTGGTGAATGAAGGCACAGTTCTCCTTGTCAGCAGCCACACTTTCCTTAGTTCCTCTTTCCAGACCCATTACAGGTAGCTCACAGTTGGGGTGGCAGAGGCAGAAAGTTTTGCCTTTTTTTCCCTTAGCAAAGGCTGAGCTTGCTATTTCCCTGTTTTGTAATGGGGTTACTAGTGCAACAACACATCATCAGTAGGGTAAAACTAACCTGTCCCACAGCAGTCGAAACCCAGGTCACATTCCCTGTTAGTGGGGGAAATTGTGCTGATTTCCACATTTTGTGCTGGGGGTGTGGTACATTTCTGCTAGCTAAGGAAATATTTGAAGTGAATTGAGAAGTGGCAATGAGGCAGCAGTATGGTGAACTGTGGCTACTGAGAGCAAAGTAGTTTTCATGTGAGTTATTCAAAACCAAACTTTAAATCTTTTGCTGTTGGGGAGTTAGTTCATGTTCAGTTATGTGGAAGCTGAAATGTGTACAAAGAATTGAAATGTGTACTTAATAAAATAAATGTCCAGGCTTTATTCTCAGTTACCTTATAAGCCAAAAGAAGACAAAAACTGAATTACATAGAAGAGTCTTCCAGTTTAATTAGCAATATTTGGGAGAAAAAACGTGGCTGTGGAGGATTTTCAGAAGTGGATGAGAGCAGGTTGAAAACAGCTGTGTGTTGTCCCTCATTCTTGTAACTACACCAAAATTGGTTATGTTTTCAAAAAAGCAAAATAGAGCAAGAATTCGTCTTGTACTAAGACTAGCTGTTTCTTTTTTTTAACAGATCAGATGCAAGCAATGAAGACATGAGAGATAAATAAAAGATGTATGGCATTCTTTTACAACCTTTGTCAGTAGGTGTACGTGTTCCTTGGAAAGGAAGAATGATTTAAAGAAAATGAACAGTTCAGCTAAAATATACTGTTGACTTGTTTCATTTTAGTACCTCTCCCAGGAGAACTGAATGTAGACAACATAGCACCTCAGGTATGCACACTGATGAATTAAATTGAATCCTGTGACTGGAGAGGGTATTTTTTAAAAAGATTTGTGTTAACAATAAACATCTGCATTCATTTGAGTTTTAGGTGATAATTAGCCATCAGGAAATGCCCCTCTGTTTTTTTTGGGGGGACACCTGTTGAGTAAATGGGAATATTTATTTTCCTGAGAAAAAATAATCAGCACTTCCTGAAATGCAGCTGAATGAGATACCTACTGATTTTAGGGGACCATTTTTAGGTATTTCTGCAAATTTTTTATATTCAAGTTTGACATTGAGTTTTTAGTAACCATCTATAATAGACTTCTAGAGGAATATTTTGATTAAAGATACAAGGATTCAGATATTCATGTTATAGATGACTGCAGATGTTTTTAAGGAATTGCTTCTAATGAAATGTTACAAATTGGTTTTGTGATATGCCATGATTATATTTGCATTCCCCCAATAAAACTTCAAACATACAACATGCCATGATTTGGGTTTTTTAACTTAAATATGCTTATTGATGGTCTTTACAATTTAGAGATTTTTGGGTTTCTGTTAGTTTCATTTGGAATTTTTTTATCCATATTCCAGTGGATATAGCACTGTGTACTGTAATAAAATGGTATATCTGTTGCCAAGCTTTTTTTATTAATTGCATATATGTGTTGCACTTCTAATAAACCAGACTGCTGTTCCAGATATTTATGATTCACAGCGTGGGTGAGGTTGGAAGGGACCACAGTGGGTCATCTGGTCCAATCTCCCTGCTCAAGCAGGGCTATCCTAAAGCACATGGCACAGGATTTGCATCCAATTCTTGAATATCTCCAGTAAGAGAGACTCCACAACCTCTCTGGGCAATCTGTTTCAGTGCACAGACACCCGCACAGTAAAGGAGTTCTTCCTCATGTTCAGGTGGAACTTCCAGTGCATGAGTTTCTTGAAAGTTATATTTTGAAAACACAGTTAAGGGTCAGTTCACTGGTTCACTAGATCATTAATATGCAATGTGTTATATACTTCTGTTGTGCATAAAAACTTTTACTTTTGAGAATAATTTTGAATAAGCTTTCTGACTTCAAAGATGTACCATAGGTAATAAATTAGGGTGATGCTAAGAATTTTATTTTTGTTATGCCACCTCTTCCCTCCTCCCTTGTTCAAGAAACAAGTGGACTGACACTGGGAATGCTGAATACTGTATTTAACTGAGTGATTACCTGATTCCTGTGGGAGATGCAATGTGTAGGTCTTGCAAAAGCTTCCCCCCCACACACATCCATTAACATACAAAACACACAAATGTTCTGTCAGCATGCCTTCTAGGGCTCACCTAATTAAGAATATTTGGAGCAAAGGGACCTGTTTGAAATGGTAGAACAGTTTCATGCACTTTCAGTTATTAAATCGTTAAAATTAACTCCCCTGCTTTGCTAGGGGGAACTAAGTCTCACTGTAAAAAATCTTTCTTATAGGATGCTGTAGTTCTGACAGTTGAGTTTATCATGAAAGTATTTTTCTTTCATGTCTCTTTTTGTGACACCTTTGACCTTTTGTCAACTCTGAATCAAAATATCCATACAAAATCAAATACAAATGGCAAAAAGTAATATATAATTTCAAAAATTTTCTTCTGAATTGTAGGCAGATAATTTTCTGGTTTACTTTGCATTGGATAATACAGTAATGAAAATAATCATAGAATGGTTTGGGTTGGAAGGGACTTTAAAGATCGTCTAGTTTCAACCCCCCTACCATGGGAAGGGAAACCTTCCAGTAGACCAGGTTGCTCAGAGCTTCATCCAACCTAGCCTGGAACACTTACAGATGAGGAATCCACACCTTCTCTGCACAACCTGTTCTAGTGCCTCACCACCCTCACAGTAAAGAATGTCTTCCTAACATCTAATCTGAACCTGCTGTCTTGAAAATAATACTTCTTGTAAAATTCTTTTGCTGTGTATAAGTACTTTGTAATTATTTTGGTTGACTTATATGGCTAATTTAAATGAAATTTTAATTTTGATATTAAGTTCTTATATAAAATCTATCTGCATTTCTGACTTTCTTGAATAACCTGGATCTTGATAGTTTTCTGATTATTTTTGTTTGTTTATTTTGGACTACATAAAGTACTACTTTTATCTTATGGATTGCCTTTAGTGTCATGGGAAGTTGTTTGAACATACTACTTTGTTGTTCCATCCAGAAATCTGAGGGAAGTACCCTAATAACTTTTACTTTTTTGCTCTCTGATGTGATTAATAAGACCTTACTAAACAGCAGGTAGTTATTTCTTTTGATTATTGTTCCTCTTTTGGGGGGGGGGGGGTTGTGTTTTATTATTTCTGAAGCAGCTGGTCCTGTTCCTTTCCTACCAGGATGCCGATCTGAATGAAGACTTGTTGGAAGCAATGGGAATGGGAACAGTCCTGTTAGTGAAATGTTTGATTTCCCCACACACACTTATTACTGCTTCAGCCATTAGTTGTCTCCCACTTCTAGAACAGCTGTGATCATTCTGTGAACATAAAACCTACTGAGGGGACCTCTGCATGTTCACCACTCCTTCCCACCTTGTGTACAGGGATGGGTCCCTATCATACACAGTTGCTACAGACCTGAGTTGCTCTAAAAATGTTGAAGTTAGTACATGGATTATATATTGCACAAAACTCTCATGCAGCTGTGCAAAAGGCTGCTTTGGAGTTGTTTTCTGAGGGCCTAGATGCTGCCAGTCTTCAATGCTGTTCTCCCATTACATTTAGGATGTTAAAGTAATTCATTATTTCTACCTGGATGCACCAAGACAGTTTAAATGTACAAGTTCATTGTGCTTGTGGAACAAAGCAGACAAGTTCCTTTGAAGGTTTAAATGAGACTCAAGGGATATTCCCTTTTTTTTTCTCCACATTACTCTAAGTGTATGCATTAAATGGTAACTTGAAAAGCAATAGAGCAACTGAAAGAGACTCAGAGAATTTGGTCTTTACACTCCACACAATGTTATGTGCTGTTGCTACTATGTACTGTGCACACTGCCCCCCCACATATTTATTAATTTCCCTTAAATATGCCTGGTAATGCTTAAGACTATTGCATTTTCAGCTAAAATGTGACCATTCTCACGTACAAAGTGTTGCCTTCTAGGTCTCTTTACAAAGGAAAAGGACTATCAGGTAAACCTATGAATCCTAATTACTATTAGCCTTGCCTATTAGCCTTGCCTCTCTAGTACTCAGAACATGAGTCCATGGGAACTTTGTATTTAACCTGCAACTATTTGCAGCTGTGCTGAGAGCCTGCATGGCCTGAAGACTCCTGGGCAATTTCATGTTAAGCAAGTGCAGTTCTAAGTGTCAGGATGTAAATGTAATGGATCCTTGTTTTAATCTCAGCCCTCTAAGTATAATATGCTTGGGGTTTTTTATTTCCTAATAAGAAAGATAAGCTGCTGTAAAAGACTAGACATAACAGCTCTGCTGCACTGCTTAGCTGTCTACAGGCAGGCATTCTGATGTGGTAATATATGGGATGGTAATGTTGTCTTTCAGTGCTTCCATAGAACAGCTGTGCAACCCTCTGTTTCAGAAAGCAGCTTATCTCTTAGGAGCTCTAGCTAGGAAATATAATTTAGTTAGGAATAAGAAATAAAATTCATGTTGATTCAAAGTACTTTAAAAGCCAGCATTTCTTATGCCAAGACATACAGTTTAATCTCAAAAAGGATGGTTTGTTCAGGGAGGGAGTGTTTGTGTTTTTGGTTTAGGTGGGTTTTTTGGTTGTTTTAAAGTTTTACTTCTGTGGAAAATCACTCTTCTTATGATTAATTCCTGTCCTCCATTTATTTAGTGCTTTCTGCCCTGCCTTATTTCTGTTTTCCAGAAATCCTCAGAAATCTTGCTCCTAAACATTCTGGTCTGCTTCTTTTAACATTTGCTGAGTACTCCACTAGTGAAACTTTGCAGCTCCCTTTCCTGTTGTGTTGGGTTGGTTTGTGGGGTTTTTTGAAAATCAAAATAAATAATGAGAGAAAGTCATAGAAGACAGGACTAAAAAAGCATAAAAGGGGACTACTGAGAAAGTCTTCAACTCTCTTTCAGAAAGGTCAGGAAAGTTTGCTTTGAAAGGTTAACTTTATATGCCCTGATCCTTTTTTATTATTATTCATAGCCCATACTTGACTGCTTAAATTTAAAAATGCACTGTTACTGTTCCAAACTAATATTATGTTTACTAGCTAATCAGAATTCAGGACTTGTAATGCTCTCTTATAACAAATGCCAAGTGTTTTTAGTAACATTTTGTAACTGTACTTTACTTCAAGGTTCTGTAACTCCTGTTACAGTAACATCATGAACGCATCTGTATTGGTGTGAAGCAGCACTTTGTAATTAATTTACCACTGTTCAGTCAGTTGGATTACTAAATTGGTTGAATTTTTCTAGCCAGATGAAACTCTTGCTCTTAGAAGTACAGTGTGTATGTGATAACATACTGTTGTCTTCCAATGGCTGTCAGGATCTCACCAAGTGAAACAGCCATTTTTACTTTTTCTACTCTTCTAATGACAGCATAAAACCCACTCCCACTACTCTTTTCCCAAATCAATCCTTAAAATGAAAGCTAGGCTGTTAATGTCTCTTGTGTACCATTAAATGATCTTGTATTTTCCAAATTTTCTACCAGCAGATGAACATCATTGTATTACAATTACATATTACTTGGGCAGCAAGTCACAAGGTGATATGCAACTTCTCTGTGATTCGGGGGCACCTTTGAAGATCAGGTTAGCTTGTGTAGTAAAAGAAGTGTAAATTTAGAAACTTCATCTTAGGCAGTCTTTTTACAAACAACTTTGTCTTTGAACAGCAGTAAGTAGATTGTAGGCCTAGCAAAATAATTATTGGACCAAATTTAGTTTTCTAAAGAGTTGCCTAACAGTCCTCAGTAAAAGGAAGAAAAGACAGTAAGGAAAGGACATTAAAAAATCAAGGAAATTGGGATGTGTGGAGCAAATTTCTTTGGGCTGTAGTAGAGTCAT